GGTGGGAAATATCCCCAGGTTTTGGACAGTTACACTGATTTTCTCTTGTGTATTTTAGGTACAAATTAGTCGGGAATGATTTCATCTGGTGCCAGCTGAAAGGAAACGATGTTGAATGGAGCAAACTTCCAACTTGTGAATGTGAGATTCATCTTCAATTGTGAGATTAAACCTTTTTACTTCACTCCAGCAGATCCTGCATCTCCATGTCCGGTCCAAAGCTCTCTTTGGATTGTTTTTGTGGATATTCTGTGGCTGATCTGTCCCCAAAAGCACAGCTGAGAAATGCCCGTTCTGCTGCTATTTCAGCAGCTTTGTTCCCACAAAATCAACATTTTTGTCATGACTGAAGGTGATGGGGTGAGATTTCCAGGAATCCTGAGTGTGGCAAGCTGCTGTTCATTTGTTGTGGCAAATAAAGAGAGGGAGAAGAGAGGGAGGAAAGTGTGAGAAGAGAAACACTTGGGGAGCAAACCAGAGAGAAGAACTGGGACAGACAGCAGTGCTTTACCCACCTAGTGCTCAAACTCAAGGGCAGACTCAAACTTTTTGTATTTTTTATTAAAACCGGAGCTTTAGCAAACACATTGTCCTCTCTCCTGCAGTAATTACCTGCTCCCCACCTCCTCCAATCAGCCACGGGAGACACGATGGGGAAGGAGTTGAGATTTTTGCTTATAACTCCACGGTGAACTACAGCTGTGACCTCAACTTCCAGCTGGTGGGGAATGGGAGCATCCGGTGTGGGAGCAGGGACAAAACCAGCGGGGTCTGGAGTGGAGCCACACCCGAGTGCAAAGGTGGTTTCATCCCAGTTCAGTGGCTGAAATTATTTGTTATTTGTTATTCTTTATTCATTATTTATTATTTATTATTTATTATTTATTATTTATTATTTAATTATTTATCTTTATTTGATATTTATTATTTATTATTGATTAATTATTTTGTATTTTGTATTTATTTCTTAGTATTTATTATTTATTATGTGGTACTTAGTATTTAGTATTAGTTTGGTATTCGGGTGAAATTTATTATTTAGTATTTAGTATTTCGTATTTATTTCTTAGTATTTATTATTTAGTATTTAGTATTTATTACTTAGTATTTAGTATTAGTTTAGTATTCGAGTGAAATTTATTATTTAATATTTAGTACTTAATATTTCATATTTAGTATTTTGTATTTATTTCTTAGTATTCATTATTTATTATTTAGTATTTATTACTTAGTATTTAGTATTAGTTTGGTATTTAGGATGAACCAGCTTAAAAGTTTGTGGGTATGAAGTGCAGGAGGGGTCAAACACAAGTGGTAAGGAAATTTTAAAGGGGAAAAAGGCAGTGCTGGAGTAAGGACTGGGTGGGCTCTGAAGGAAGGAGGAGTGCTCTGAGCAATGCTCCCTCTCTGTCCCCCAGAGAAAAGCTCAGCTGTCAGACTTGGAGCAAAAGACACGGAGAGGAGAGCTCCTCCCAAAAGTGAGTTGAAATCACTCGACGTTGAATCAAGTCCATTTATTTTTCTCCTTTATCACTTTTTTAGGAAAGGCCACCCGGTGAATTTGACCCCGTGAATTCCATTTTCTCAGGTCCCCATGGAAATGGAGCCCAGCCCTCTAAGAAGGGTCTCCTGTGGGAGAGGAAGCTCAGCTTCTATAAAAAGGCTCTGCAAAACAGCATCCAACCCTCCCAGCCCTCCTCCTTCTTCAGGAAACCAGGTCAGTCTGGAGGGACAGCGACATCAGTGCCACCTCCTGGTTACTCCCATCCCTAAAAACCAGAATTTTCTTTTTTTCTCCCCCATATTTCTCTTCAGTGAGCAGGAACTGGGCTGCCTCAGAATTCAGATTTGTTCTACCTCTGTACAAATCCCCAAAATCCTATTCTGGGCCCAGCAAAGGATCCATGTGTCCTCCGAAGTACATGGGGATCCTTCCCCCACCTGGTTGCTTGCAGAAGTTAAAACGGCCCAAATTTCCATCATTTTGTGGAAGTGAGTGGGTTTTTTGTCATGTTCTTCTCTTCTATAAGTTTTCTCTAATGTATAATTTACATTTCTTGCTGGTTGGGCATCTGGTTCACAGCTCAGCTTTGACTGCACTGATCTCCCATTCTCATAAAAAGCTTTGTTTTGTCTGAAATGCATTTTAACTTATTGCCCTTATGTTATTACAGATTTTTTTTTTTTTTAAACTCATGTTTTGGGCATTTTGAAAAGCAAGAGAGAACTTTGTACCACGTAGCCCTGGGAGTGCCAGGGCTCCGGGTGCTGATGCCAGCCTTGTTCCCCACAGGGAGCTCATGCACAGCCAGGAGAAGCTGGACATGGTGGAAGTCCTGGTCCCCCAGATTCCCCACCCGCTGCAGAGGATAATTTTGCCCATGAAAAGGGAGAATGTTGGCTTTGTGGGAAGTGCTGGGAGCTGTGGTTGTCTCACTGTAAGTGGGGAAGACACAACACACATGGGAGGATTTCAGTACCCAACTGAGGGATGGTGAAAATTGTTCCTCTGGTGTCAGGGTCAAGCTGAGTTTGCCCATCCCTGAGTTTTGTCTTTTGGGTCAAAACCAGAAAATCTTTTACCATTCCTGACCTGATCCAAAAGTGCCCCATGCAGTGGTCACACTTATTAGGACTCCTTCTCCTTGCTTTAAGGTAAATGATGACCTAAATCAGCTCGGTCTCACCTGTAAGATGTAATTTTTTAATGATGATGTTTTAGCATGTCAAGAAACCGATGGAAAATTGTTCCTAAAAGTATTTATTGGCTGATTTCCATATTTGCTCCTCCCACCCGAGTTTTCCTTTCAGCGGTTGCCTCCCAGCGTCCCGATCCAGCTGCGATTCCTGCTGACCCCGCCAGGGTTTCAGAGGCTGCTGCAGAATTGCCCCGGAGCCCGGCTGTGTCCTGCCCAGCCTGACGCGGTGTTTCCAGGCCCGCAGGTTCTTCTGCTCACTGGCAACACCACAACAAACCCTAAACACAGCCCCAGCCTCCCTGGGGAGGGAACTGCTCCCTGAACTCCCCAGGAATTCCTGGCTGCGGCTGATCCAGCTGTGGATCCAGCTGCCAGCAGGGAAAAGCAAAGCAAGGGCTTCCCTGTCCTGCAGAGTTTGTATTGTCCTCTTGTATTTATTTTAGGAAACCGTGGTACTTGGGATATTACACTGTTTAATCTTTATATATCTTGAGTGGTTTAAGCCCTTTCTTTAGCAAAAGCTTCTTCGTGTATCAGCCCAAAGTTCCTTGCAGTTTTCATTTCTACCACAGGAAGATAAAGCCACGTGTGGGCCGGGTATCTCTGATCTCATAACGCAAAGGAGCCACTTCTGCTTTCCAGAGGGAGGGAGGCAGCTCAGCCCTGCTGTGAGCACATCAACCAAGCACAGACACAGAAATACAACTCCTAAATATCCTCCCCAGGGCTGCCACCCTGCAACAGAGGGACTGGAAAAGTCATGTGTGTTCTTTTGGCTGCCTACCCCAATTTCGTCCTGTAAAGACCTCAAACTCCCAAAGCTTTTCTGGGTTTTTATTTCTATTTAGTAATAAATGGGAATTGCTTATAAAGGGTACTCTGTGAATTCAACTCCCTGCTGTTTTCTCATCATATTTTATTCTCTTTTTCAAGAAGAAATCAGCTTAAAGGTATATCCTGGTAATGATCAGATTCAACGCTCAGTCAGTTCTTTATCACTCTGAACATTTATTTTCTAAATGCCATCCATAGCGAATTAAACTTGGTGGTTACATATTTCAAAAAAGTAGTAAAGGAGGAAAGCAGGAATGTGTTTCTGGGAAGTCTGGAAAAGGCAGCTGGAGTTACACCTCCCCTAATCCTGTTCAGCCACCCTGGGACTGAGCCCTGCATGCCCTGAGCTGAGGCTGAGCTCAGGCAGACCCGGGCTCAGCTCAGGCAGACCCAGGCTGAGCTCAGGCAGACCCGGGCTCAGCTCAGGCAGACCCAGGCTCAGCTCAGGCAGACCCAGGCTGAGCTCAGGCAGACCCGGGCTCAGCTCAGGCAGACCCAGGCTGAGCTCAGGCAGACCCTGGGCTCAGCTCAGGCAGACCCGGGCTCAGCTCAGGCAGACCCGGGCTCAGCTCAGGCAGACCCGGGCTCAGCTCAGGAGGTGTTGGGAGCTGAGTTCCCGGGGCAGTCCCGGGGCAGCTCCAGCGCTGTTTTTGCTGTTGGGCTTTGCCGCCTGCCGCTGCTCCCCGTGTGTGACCCCAGCAGGTGCCCGGGCTGATCCCCGCGCTGCAGGGACGGGTGGCAGGGCCAGATAAAGCTGCTGGCCCTCGGTGGCCGGGCAGGGACAGAGCTGCTATCGGGGCCTCAGCCACCGCCCGGGAGGAGCCGCTGCTCCCGCGGCTCCTGCGGCAAAACGGGGCAGCGAATGTGGGTGCACAGGGCAGGGCTGCGCCCGGCCAGGGGGCAGAGATGTCTCCTGTTCCCTCCCCAAGCAGAAAACAGCCTGTTTTCTGGTGTTTTCTGGTGTTTTCTGGTGTTTTCTGGGGTTTTCAGGGTTTCAGCCTGTGAGCAAGGGCATTTTCACTCGGTTCTGTGAGTGCAGCCACTCCCTGCGGGGGCTCAGCATCACGCAGAGTCTTTTGCCAAATACTTTTCAGCATCTTCCTGCTCCGTGCCAAAGTCACAGCCCTAAGCTAATACAGGAGAATTCCCCAGAATTTAAAGGTGTTTTTTTTCTTCCTGCTAACAGATTCCTTTTGCCTTATGCAGCCACCGTCCCCATTCAGGCCAGTGAGCTGTGAAAATGCAGCCAAGGTCTCTCCATGGAATTTGTCACCGTGTTTACAAGGGAGTGTTTTACAGGGAAACGTTATCCAAGGTGCTGGATTCCTTCCTTCGGAAACCACCTCTGTGTCTCATTGTTACATCTGATTGGAACTTAAATTGTATAGGAAAGGAAAATAAAGTGGAAATTAAAAAAGAAATAAATAAAAGGGGTAAGTTGGTAAGTTTGAGCAGAGGAAACATCGCGGTTTCCTGGATAACCAAGGGAAACAGGAAGGCGCAGGTCGGCTGCTGCTGGCTGCCCTCTCCTTGGACTGGGAGGACACATTCCCCTTCCTGCCCTTTTAGGTTTGGGTATTTTCTTTTCCTTTGCGGCTTGGCAGCTTTGGAGGGAGGGGGATCTTTCCTGGAAGTGCAGAGTGAGGCTGAGAAGGAGAGGCTGAGGCAGCGGATTCCCGGGGAGCCGCTCCTTGGGATGCCAGACGCGCCTGGCACCGCTCACCCCGCGCGTTCCACACCCAGCCCTGCTCCCCACCGCGCTCACGGCTTTCGTCAGAGCCTTCCCGGAGCTGAGCTGAGCTCAGCTGAGCCGGGCTGGCCGGGAGGGGCGGGCGGGGGCACCGCGGAGCTCGGAGCAGCCCCGCGGGAGTGGCTCCGCTGCCCGGGCAGTGCCGGGGGACCCGCGATGGGCTCCGGCCGCCGCTGCTCGCTGCTGCCGCTGCTGCTGGTGCTGCTGGAGCTGCCCGCGGCGTGGGGTGAGCCCTGGAGGGGAACGGGGTGCGGGGAGCCGGGCACCCTGGGCTGGGTGCTCCGTGCGTGTGGGAGCGCTCTCTGCGCCTGTGGGTGTGCGAGTGTGGGATCTGTGTGCTATCCACGGGGGTGTGGGTTATCCACGGGAGTGTGGGTTATCCATGCGAATGTGTGCTATCCACGGCAGTGTGGGTTATCCATGGCAGTGTGGGTTATCCACGGGAGTGTGGGTTATCCACGGGAGTGTGGGCTATCCACGGGAGTGTGGGCTATCCACGGCAGTGTGGGCTATCCACGGCAGTGTGGGTTATCCACGGCAGTGTGGGTTATCCATGGGAATGTGGGTTATGCATGCGAATGTGGGTTATCCATGGGAATGTGGGTTCTCCATGGCAGTGCGGGTTATCCATGGCAGTGTGGGTTATCCATGGCAGTGTGTGTGATATATATATGCAGAAGGAGCCCTGCTACATCTCCTTTTATTTTCCCACAGGGGACTGTGGGCCACTGCCAAACATCAGCCACGCCGAGCCCCAGGGGGACACCAAACACCAGCAGAGCTTCAGTGTGGGCTCCACAGTGACCTTCGGCTGCGTCCCGGGTTACACCAAGCTCCCCTTTCTCTCCAACACCATTCGGTGCCTGTCGAACTCCCGCTGGTCCAGCCTGCCAGAGTTCTGTGGCCGTGAGTGTTTCCCTTTCTCTGACACAGGAGGGTGCGGGCTGCTTGTGGGAACACCCACAGCTTTGGCAATCGCTGCCTCAGGGGTTTCCTCATCACACAGGATGAAGTGGTCTGGCCACTTCTCTTGCTGCCCCTTTTTCCTACACTCCACCGAAGCCGTTGGAGCCACTTGCGTGGCACTTGTGTGTTAATGAAAATAGAGGAACAGCTTGGGAAGAGCACGGAAAAGGGGAGGGAATGCAGGGGCAGAGCACTGAGTGACCAAAGGGTTAACCAGGCAGGGAGGTTTGGCTTTGGGGATTTGGAAACTTCTCCAGTGAGAACTGGCTGCACTTCCCCACCTCGGACAATTCCCTGCTGGAAGTGGCCAGGGAGGAGGGCACTGTTTGGGGGGTCCGTGCTCTTAGTGAGACTCGTGTGTTATCACTCGGATTTATGTTTACAGCTGAAAGCAAAATGTTGTTATTTTTGCTCTGTAACCGGACATTTGGGTGTCTCTGTGGTGGCCAGGCAGCTGTCCCACACCCAGATCTGTGCCATTTGCTGCACTATCACCAGAAGACAAAATGCAGAATTTTTACGCCGTTAACACCACGGTGAGGTACATTTGTCGCCAAGGTTATGACAACACCACAGCCCAGCCCCCCACCAGCACCTGTTTGGACAACTTAACGTGGACAGAAGTTCCTGAACTGTGTCAGAGTGAGTGTCCCTGTCCCCATCTCATTTCATTTTCCCCAATGCTGTGTTCCAAGCGCCATGCCTGTATTTTAAAATTGCTCTTTTCTAATGACATTTAACATGAAATACCATTAGCTGCCTGATTTGACATTGCCATACCGCCATGAAAACTAAGTTTGTGGGGCTTTTCCCAGCCTCATGGTGCCCTAAGGATAATCTTACTCTTTTTTAGAGAAATCTTGTGGTATTCCAGCCAATCCAGAACATGGCCAAGTCATCCTAAAAGATATCCCAAAAGATCATCTGCTGGGTGGAACAGCCAGAGTGGTTTGTGACCATGGGTGAGTGTGAAGTCACTTCCCTCTGCATCCCAGCTGCCTGGTCAGAGTCACTGGGGTGTGAACTGGGACGTGGGGCTCTGCCCATGCAGTCCTCAGCACCTCTGTGGTGACATATTCTTGGTTGGTGGCAACCAGCTGATTTTGGGATGTGCCTTTTGTCCCCGCAGGTACAGATTAAAGGGAGCATCACCTTCCATCAGGTGTCTCCTACAGGGCGACAAAGCTGTCTGGAGTCCTCTTCCAGCTTGTCAGGGTGAGTGAAGTTGTCCAGTGCTTGACTGGAAAAACCAAATATTCCAGCATAGAAATTCTGAATTTTTGGTTTACTTCACTAAGTGAAGTCAGGCCAGCATCTCTGCAAGGGGACAGCTGCTGTCACAAGCAGGGAGTCCCCAGGAGCATCACTGGTTCCTGTGCAAGCCTGGCAGGAGCAGTCTCTGCTGAGAAGAGCATCCCAGGGGTCCCCTCCTGAGTTCTCTCCTCTTTCTCCCGCAGCGATTTCCTGCCCCCCTCCTCCAGCCATCCCCCACGGGCAGCACAGTGGGAACGGCTCGGAGGAGTTCGCGCTGGGCTCCGTCACAACCTACACGTGTGAGCCGGGGCTGGAGCTGGTGGGACAGGACACGCTGCGCTGCACCGGCGACAGCGGCGACAGCGGCGACAGCGGCACCTGGAGCGGGGCCCCGCCCGCCTGCCGGGGTGAGCCCCATCCGCTCACAGCCACCCCTTCCCCGCAGCTCGCTCCTGCTGGGCTGCCCTCGCTCCCGAGCCCGTCCTGGCCGCACAGGAACTCTGCAGGGTTTGTTCCAGGGCAGCAGCACCTGCTCTGCCAGGCGCCAGGCTCTGCTGAGGAGCACCAGGGGCAGAACCAGACTTGGTTTTATGTTTTCCCTTCAAGAGGAACAGGCAGAAATGTAATGAACAATGTGGGAAATTATCGGTGGCTGCAAAGCTGGTGGAGGGAACTTAGAAAGGATTTATTTGTGTCTCGGGTCCAACAACACCCAGGCAATAAAGCCAAGTGGAACAGCAGAATCCCCTCTGTCCTTAAGGCCTGGAGTGGCACGAGAGGTCCCTGCCACAGCCTGAGATGCACAAATCACCTGCCCATGTGATGTTTACTCCTCTCTGAACTATTTTATATATTTTGTACAAGCCGAGCACCATCTAAAATCACATTTTGAGAGCTTTTCTTTTGTCTCTCCCTAGTTAAAACCACAGCAGAGACAAACCAAACCAAACCCTCAGAAGACAATCCTTACTGGCTGGGTAAGAGCTCCATTTCTTAGAAGTCCTGTTAATTGCTGTAATTACACCACATTTTGGCCTTCATATTTTTAACATCCCTTTCATTATTTTCCTCCCCAGCAAGCATCCTCATTCCGAGTTGCATTGGTAAGTAGCTTAAAATTGAAAATATATTTTCCTACCCCAAAGCTGTTTGCTGTTAAATACCTGGAGTCAATGGTTGATTTCACTCTCCCTTTCCCTTCTTTGTTAGTTCCCCCAGTAGCCCTTGGAATTCTAGCTGGGATCATCATGAGACGGAAAGAGAGTGAAAAGCAGTAAGCTGCCCCTCCAAAATCAGAACTTTCCCTGGGGATAAGTGGATTTTTCCTTTCAAACCATATTCCTTCAGTATACTTGCATGGTTAGCATGATTTTTCCATGTTGTGAAGATTTTATTCTACAATTTTCGCCCTTTCTGTCTCTCCAGCTCTTATAATGTGAATTCACAAAAGCAGGAGGTGAAGGGAAGGGATGAAGCGATGCACCTGGAGGTTACAGATGAGAAGAAGCACCCCAAGCCCTGGAATTCCTATTTTTGGTAGGTTTGCTTGTTCATCTGCCCAAAAACTTGTGCCAGACTTACTTGTGACTATAGCCAGGGGTCTCACTGCTGCTGAGCTCACCTGTGCAGAAGATATTTGAACAGTTTTTGACTTTCAAATGCCACGATGAACACCCTGCTGTCCAAAGGGGGCTTCAGGAGGGTTTGGGGTTTGCTGGGTGGATTTCCCCCATCTCTCTCATCCACAGCCACACAGGGAAGTGCCACGTGTGTCCCAGCTGTGAGGAGCAGCTCCACAGTGACCTGGCCCCTCTCTCAGAGCCCCCACGCCACGGCTGTGCCACCTGCCAGGCCTGGCTGAGCTCCCAGCCCCACAAACCCCGCAGCTACTCGGTCCCCAGCATTGGTGGTGGGGACAGCCAGAGCCCAGCAGGCATCAGGTACAGATCCCACAGGGGAGCAAAACAAGGGGAAAGGGGGAGGAAGCATCTCTATGTGCATAAAGTGAGTTTTGCAGTTGGAATTCATGTGGTTCCTGTCTTAGCAGGAGCAAGGGTTTGATATGGGGGAGCAGTGGCTCTGTTGGGCAGGAGGTGTTTTTGGGAAGCCACACACTCAGGCTCTGTGTGTTCTCTCTCTGTGTGTTCAGCTCTCCTGCCAAAGCTGGGGATGTGCTGAGGGCAGATGGCACAGGAGCAGCTGCTCCATGGAGCAGTGAGGCAGAGCAGCCCATGGACCACCAAAGGTCAGCCTTCCACCTAAAAACACCCAGATGCCATGGGGGTCATGGGCAAAAATCAGTGAATTTCAGAACTGTGCTTATCAGAGAATCCCAGAGTGGTTTGGGTTGGAAGGGACCTTAAAGGAACATCTCATGCCAACCCCACACCTCCCACTGTCCCAGGCTGTTCCAAGCCCCAGAACCATGGCCTGGAAGGCACATCCGTGCTCTCAGTGCTCATCCTCAATGGTTCTTCCCCACAGTGACCACATCTGTCCCATCTGTGAGAGCTGGCTCCGTGCCCACACTGGCCAGGGTGGCAGCAGTGCCGTGACACCGGGGGAGTGGCAGCACAAGGGGTGAGTGTGGCCAGGGCCGGCAGCTCCTGTCCAGCCCCTGTCAGCACTGCAGTGAGGGCCCAGAGCTCGCTGCTGAACTCAGAGTACAAGCAGGTGGCAGTGTGTGAGTGTTGGCTGCTCCTCGCCCTGTGCCAGGGTAGAAGGGTGGTGCCTGCTCAAGCAGAGATGTGGGACTGGGTGAGGTTCACTCAGATGATGCTTGTGGGGTTTCCCTGGGTGTCTCTGGAGCATCCTGTGCTCCTCAGCTCTGCTCACCTGACTCAGCCTCGTGTTCTTTGGGGCTCTGGTTCTGGTTAAGCAGCAAAGAGCCCAGGTGAGACCCTGCAGTGGGAGCCTCTTCTCAGCCACTGCCCAGGGCTTTTCCCACCTGTGGGTGTGGTTCCTTTGCTTGTGGCAGGGTGAGGTTTTGGGCCAGAGAAGTGACGAGGTAAAGCTATTTGCTCAGTTTATTTATTTATCTTCTGACACTTGCCCATGTGAGTCTGGTGCTCTCTCAAGCTGGCAAAGCTTCCTCAACAGAGACACCACTGACAGAGCCAAATTCACATGAAAAACCAGATAAACATGGTTGGATGTGTGGATCTGCTTGCTTTGGCTTTGGGAAGTGTGAACTCCTTGCTGCTGCATTTGCCTCGGGGTTTTTCCATTTATTCCTGTGAGTGCCTGCTCCACTGGCTGGAGTCGTGGGGGAGCTGGTCCAGTTCTGCATGCTTGAATCTCTGCCTGTTGGAGTTTAAAAAGGGCAATAGTGAAGGAGAGCAGCTCTGTGGCTGCTGGAGCCTGTGCAGGGCGGTTTGGAGAGGGGCAGGTCCTGTCATGACCCCGCTGGGACTCACTCACCTCTGTCCCCACAGCCCCCAGGGCCCGGTCTGTGCCCCCTGCATGGACAGACAGCTCCTGTCCCTTGTCCACGGGGACACAGCCAGCAGCCCCGTGTGTGCCCTGGCCGGGGAGGGCACCCCAGCCCACCTGGTCCCTCTGCACAGCCCCAGCTGCCACCTGTGCCCCGTGTGCTCGGTGCCCACCCACGCTCACCTGTGCCAGCCCCAGCGCCTGGCACCTGATGGTAGGAGCTGCTGGGGCACCCCAAACACCCCCAGTCCCTGGGGAGGGGCACAGGGCTCCTCAAACCCTCCCCAGGCCGAGGGGCTCCCCCTGATCCCTGCTTGTTTCCCGTTGCAGGATAAATCCAGGAGCTGAGGAGGGAAGGGGAGTTCAGCACCGATGCCTGGCAGGGATTCAGCTCTGAGTGCAATAAAGGGACCTCAAGTCAAGGCTCTGACTTCACCTGGGCTGGCAAAGAAGCAGAAAAACCAAACATACTTCAAACCCACCTCTCTGTTGGTATAATGCCTGCTTTTATGTTTATTTTTGTATGAACAAAGTATTTTTGCAGCTCTTAAAGTGAGATTTTAAAAAGTCAGTAAACGTTTCTTTGTGCGAGGAAAACAATTTCCACTTTGCACAATCTTACAAGATTTATTGGTATTTCTTAAACTACTTTTTTTAAACTGAAGTTCCTTTCCTAGTGTGCAGATAAAAGTGCAACATTTACAGTATTTATAGTAAAACTGTTTTGTAAATAAAAGGAATATAAAATAAAGAATACTGGTATCCTGGCTCTGGGGTTTTTTCATATTTACTAATTAAGCCTTCCCATAGAGTGGCTTAAATGATTTTGCAGTCTCATTATTTGCCAGATGTAATCAAGTTCATTAATTGCTTCTGCTCAATTAATTGCTGCAGTTGCACTGGTGTCCAGTGCCTGAGCTTTCCTGGGAATTGTGATGAGGGAGGTGGGGCAGGGCTCTGCTTTTCCCTCCTGACAAAGTGGCCTTGAAGCAGCGACTGCCAGGAAACCCTGGCACTGCTGTGTGGGACTGGAGTGCTTTGGAAGGCACCTGGAACGCTGCTGAGAACTTATTATAAATTCAATATTCATAATGGAATGCTGCTGAGAACTTCTGCAATGCTGCTGAGAACTTCTGCAATGCTGCTCAGAACCCAAGGGCAGCAATCCCTGTGTGAAGCCACGGAGATGCCAAGACCTTTGTCCTGGGAGCAGGACACCAACCCCACGGCTTTTGGGCACTTTGTTTTCACCCTGTCTGCCCTGAGCCACTCGTGGCTGTGCTGAGGACGTGTGTGAGCATGGAGAGAGGTGAGGAAGGGACCATGTGGGCAAAAGGCCCTGGATTTGTCTGGCTGATGGCAAGGCCATGCTGAGGCATTGGTGTCCTTTCCTGGCTCTAACTCAGCCTGGTTGAAGCTCGCTGGATAAGCTGTCATAAAATGGAGTTAAGATTGGAAGGTTTCCTGTTTAGAAGGGAAACGCCACTGTGGTGGAATTTTGACTGCCTAGGCCTGAGACACTCAGACTTTCAGCTGCTGGCAAAGCAAAATGTTGAGGTTTGGGGTTTTGTCTGCTGCAGAGGTAAATCACCCATCTGGGAGCTTCTCATGATGCACACTGGGAACAGGAACCACCCAAAATGTGTCTACTACAGACCTTTGGTTTCTCCATTTTCCCCTGCTAGCAGGAACACATCTCTAATAAGAAGGAAACCCACACATAACCATTTCCATGCACACATCAGCCCTGTTCCAGACAGGCCCCCAAGTTCTCCCTCCCCAGCAGAGCTCTGTCCTGCTCAGCTGGCACAGGGCCACTGCAGATCATGTTTCTTCAGCCTTGCAGAACAAGCACTTGCACATTGCTGGTTATTTTTATTGCTCTTTTACCGTAAGCCATGTGAGTGACTAAATGGACAAAACACAACCTGAAACCTCACAGCTCTGGGTTGTGTTTGGTTTTGCTGTTTTAATCCCAGCACATTTATTCACACTGCATAGTCCAAAGTGATTTTTTGTTTTCAAATTATTTAACATGTGATTTGGGGATAGCTTGGAATTATCTCCCCACAATCACATGAAAGGAATTGTGAATGCTGAAACATTGTTTACAGCTGTGGTCACCAAAATTTACCATTGGAGAGGGTTTATTTATAGTATTTGTAATCAATTGCAGATAATTTTTCTTTATAATCTGAGTGCAAATGACCAAGTGCAATTCTGAAGTGTGAACGTTGGATTTGTAAGTATTGGAAGCTCTCTGTCAATAAAAGGAATAAAAGGGCTTGAGCAGTTCATGTCTTGCTGCCTGCTTTAGGCTGAGGAAGTGTCACCTGTGGGAGGTGGGCAGCTGGAGCTGCTGGGGCTGCTCCTCATCCAAAAGTCCTGGCTGGGAGTTGATTCTTCCTGCCAGGGGGAGGATCAGCCCAGGGTCAGGTCAGGAGGATTTGTGTCCCCAGCTGGTCCCATTTTTATGGAAGGAGGGAATTCCCCAGTGCCCATCCCACCCCTGGGCAGGTGAATTGTGCCGTGTCCCTCAGGTGCCACCACCATCCCCTGGGGCTCTGGGACAGAGCCTGGGCCACTTCCCCTAGGGAGGACACTCTGCTCCATGGGCACAGTGCAGCTACAGCACCTCTGCCTGCACCCAGCCCTTTTCCACCCCTCTTTGAACATCCTCCCCTGCTAAAACCAGCAGCAGCAGCAGCCTGAGGCACCTGCAGCCTCCTGGGGGTGCTGGCTGTGCCTGCACGTCCTGGGGAGCCCCCAAGTTCCTGTCCCACAGTCCTGGGAAGTTCCCCAGCAGCATCTCCTTCCTCCCACGGGGGCAGTGGGGGGAACTGGGGCGCCCATATCTGCCCCGTGCCCCCAGGAGCCGCTGCCTGTGCCAGGGATGGTGCCCACCCTCACCCTCTGCCTGCTGGGCAGCTCCGCTCTGCTCCTCAGCACCACGCCCGGGGCTCAAGGTAAGGCAGGGCAGCAGCTCTGCTCCTCTGGGGCCTTCCTCCCACGGCCCTCCTGCTCCTCATCACTCCTCTGTCCTTGCTGATCCCTGGGCTTTTCTCTGCGGAGGGAAACGGGAGCCCTGCACTGGTCCCAGGTGGACCTCGGCATCACAGAGCCCTGAGCCCCTCTGCTGATGGCAGAGACCCTCTGGGGCCATCAGAGCCACAGCTGGCCTGTCACCAGAGCCACAGCTGGCCTGTCACCAGAGCCACAGCTGGCACCCCCAGCCCCCTGGCACAGCACAGACCCTGGGGGCCTGTCGGGTCCGTCCTGGGCTGCCCTGTCAGTGGTTTCCTGGTCAGATCACGCCCTCAGGATGGCCAGGAAAGGCTCTTGACCCTGCTGGGTGCTGACACGAGATCCTGGACACGCAGGTTTTGTCAGCTGAGGTGGCAGCGGGGTCCCCGAGGAGCACAGGGAGGGTCCCGCAGCCCAGGGACCCCAGCCCAGCCGCAGCCCCCAGAGCCCACGGGCACCGGGCTGCACGGGCACCCTGCAGCGCCCCGGGGCCGGGCAGGTCCGCATTTCCCTTCTCTCCCTCCCAGCCGCCTGGTGCCCGCCCCCCCGGGTGCCCTACGGGCGGGTGTCCCCTCGTCGCCATTTCTACCGGACGCGGGACACCGTGAGCGTCACCTGCAACCCGGGCTACAGCCGGCGGGGCCCGGGCAGCAGCACCTGCCGGGCTGCCTCCAGGTGGGACCCCCCTCTGCCGCAGTGCAAAAAGGGTGAGTGTCACACCAGTGTCCCACACTCTCTTGTGTCCTCCCAAGTTCACTGGGAAGGCAAAGCTGGGGTGGATCTGTCCTGGCTGCCCTTCCCAAGCTCGGCTGGCAGAGAAACAGAAACAGCTCCGGTGGGACACGGGGATGGCTGCGACCTGTCTGGGGCTCTGAGAGGGATGGGGAGAGGTGAACCCTGAAGGATGGCAGAGTCTGAATGCCGGGGGGTTTCTGACACTGCTTCTGGGCAGATGTGGGGCATTTTCACCTTCATTGTGGAGTGGAGAGTAATCACAACTTCTCACTGCTCTCGCTGCTTCCACATCAGGGTGGATCCCTCCCAAATCCTGCCATGTGCCCGAAGTCCTGTCGGGACTCTCATTCCTGCCAGTGATTCCCTTCCAGGTGCAGCTGCACCGGCAGTGAACTAAAGCCGTGACCCAGCAAATGCAGCCCAGAGCAGAATTCAGGAGATCACCCTGCTGTTACTGAGCTGTGCCAGGAGCACCAACCAGCTCAGAGCAGACCCACAGGACGCTTTCTTTCCCTCTGCAGAGGTGACATGTCCCCGGGCACCGAGCATCGCCAATGGGCTGCACTCTGGGCCCTCCTCGGGCAGCTTTCCCCGGGGAGTGACCGTGTCCTACAGCTGCAGGGAGGGCTTTCAGCTGCTGGGCAACGAGTCCATCACCTGCACGGACTCCGGGCGCTGGAGCTGGCCCCTGCCCCGCTGTGAAGGTCTGTGGGGCCTCTCTCATGGGCTGGGGGGCAGGAGAGGGCTCTGTGTGTGCGGGATCCGCTCCTCGTGCAGTGAAGTTTAAAGGGCGCTGTCACTGCTCCCCCAGCGATCGGCTGCCAGGTACCCGAGGTGCAGAACGGGAAGGTGCACAACGCGCAGAGCACCTACAGAGCTGGAGAGACTCTGCACTTTGACTGTCACCACGGCTATGCAGCAGAGGACTCCGGTGAGGCTCGGTGCCAGCCCGGGGGCATCTGGGACCCGCCGGTGCTCGTGTGCCATAGCGGTGAGTGCTGCTCAGGATCGGGGGCTGCAGGCTGGGATTTCACCCCTCCGGGCGCTTCCCCTCGCTCCCCCTTCTCTCGCTGAGTTAAATTTCCCATCTCCCTCCCGCAGTCCGGCCCTGCCCGATGCCTCCGGAGGTCGCCAATGGGAATCACAACGGCCGGGACATAGCAGAATTCACCATGGGAATGTCTGTAAGGTACAGCTGCAATCCTGGCTATTACCTGGTCGGAAATGCCGCTGTGTCCTGCAGAGCATCGGGGAACTGGAGCCAGCCCAGCCCTCGCTGCGAAGGTGAGTCCGGGCTCTGTCCCCTCAGGCTCTGAGCACAGGGGACACCCTCACCAAACCCACTGAGACCTTCCGTGAGAGACTGAATTCCATTTTAATGAAATATATGGGTTTATAATATGTAGAGAACAAGCTAAAATCCACGTGTCCAGAGCCAGCACCCTCCTCCCTGTGCTCCAGTCATATCCATGGATGGTGGCAGTGCTGAGACCAGGCATGGGCACAGGGGGGGGACACAGCTTTTAGGGGGACACCAGCTGAGTTTGAACGAATCATTTCAATACTGTTTGTCCAGAAAAATCAGAGGAGAGTCAGGAGACCCTAAGGCTGCTGGCAGGATGCAGCTGGCAGTACCTGGGGTTTTAGTCCTCTGTCCTCTCAAAGTCTGACTTCTGGAAGGGTGGGGCTGAACTGGCTCCCCAAAATCTCCCAACCTCTGATGAGGTTTCCCCTCCCTCTGCAGAGGTGACATGTCCCCGGGCACCGAGCATCGCCAATGGGCTGCACTCCGGGCCCTCCTCGGGCAGCTTTCCCCGGGGAGTGACCGTGTCCTACAGCTGCAGGGAGGGCTTTCAGCTGCTGGGCAACGAGTCCATCACCTGCACGGACTCCGGGCGCTGGAGCTGGCCCCTGCCCCGCTGTGAAGGTCTGTGGGGCCTCTCTCATGGGCTGGGGGGCAGGAGAGGGCTCTGTGTGTGCGGGATCCGCTCCTCGCGCAGTGAAGTTTAAAGGGCGCTGTCACTGCTCCCCCAGCGATCGGCTGCCAGGTACCCGAGGTGCAGAACGGGAAGGTGCACAACGCGCAGAGCACCTACAGAGCTGGAGAGACTCTGCACTTTGACTGTCACCACGGCTATGCAGCAGAGGACTCCGGTGAGGCTCGGTGCCAGCCCGGGGGCATCTGGGACCCGCCGGTGCTCGTGTGCCATAGCGGTGAGTGCTGCTCAGGATCGGGGGCTGCAGGCTGGGATTTCCCCCCTCCGTGCGCTTCCCCTCGCTCCCCGTTCTCTCGCTGAGTTAAATTTCCCATCTTCCTCTCCCAGTCCGGCCCTGCCCGATGCCTCCGGAGGTCGCCAATGGAAATCACAACGGCCAGGACAAAGGGTTTTTTACCATGGGAATGTCTGTAAGGTACAGCTGCAATCCTGGCTATTACCTGGTCGGAAATGCCGCTGTGTCCTGCAAAGCATCGGGGAACTGGAGCCAGCCCCGCCCTCGCTGTGAAAGTGAGTCCGGGCTCTGTCCCCTCAGGCTCTGAGCACAGGGGACACCCTCACCAGTGCAAACAGATCCTCCAAGAGGGTTAATTCCATGTAAAGTGTATCATGGAATCAATTCGTGCCAAGCCTTCCTATGGCTGGGGAGGTTTGTGTGGACGTTGCGCTGATTTTGTGGTTCCAACATTAACAGCCGGTGGTTTTGTGTTTTCTTTTGCTCCAACCCCTTCTGCACACCCTCATTTCCAGGGACTGTCTGCATCAATCCAATCGTAGCCAATGGAAGGCAAGTCGGTGGCCACGGGCTTCTCTCTGCCCCCGGGCAAACGGTGACATTTCGGTGCCACGATGGTTACAGCCTGCAGGGCAGTGCCAGCCTGTCCTGCCAGGAGGATGGCAGCTGGCAGCCCCCTGCTCCTGTGTGTGACAGAGCACTGCCCCACCACCACTCCTTCACCAGGTCTCCAGGTACCTGACATAACTGCTGGTTTATGTCCCCTAACCCTGTTTAAAAAAATGTTGTTAAATCCTTTGAGGGGAAGATTCAAGCCTATCCTGGGAATAAGAACCTAATCCTCTGCAATCCTTTGGGAAAATGTCTTTATTAATGGCTATATTAATCAAAACGAACATTTTTACAAGGCAAACCAAACCCCTTTCCTCCTAACAGTGCTCTTTGTGTGCTTGGCCTCAATGTGCCTGTCCTGCCTGCTTCTCACATCTCTTTTCTCTCTCACTAGGTGCTTGTGGTGCTCCCACAAGGTTGCAGTTTGCTGAGCTAAATGAGGAGCACAGAAATGCCATTGATTTTCCTGTTGGGAAGACTGTGCAATACACTTGCCGCCCTGGATATGCTAAAGTGCCAGGAATGTCACCTACTCTGACATGCCTTGAGAGTGGAGTGTGGTCAGAAGCACTAGAGTTCTGTAAAAGTGAATAGCTCCTTGATTTGGTGTCTGTTGTTGCAGGAGGAACAGGTCTCAGGTTCTGTCCATGCTGCCAAAACCTTGATGTTATTCTGAATATGTGACTAGTAAAGCCATGTAACCCTTTGAAATTGGAAACCCGTGCTGGGGGAAACTGGGAATGTGGGCAGGGGACTGGAGGAATAATTGCATATTTGGTACTGTGATGTAGAGAGACAGGATATAAGGGTGTTTTCCTTTCCCAGGGAAACAGTGCAGTCACCCAGGTGAGCCTATGAATGGCAGGATTATTTCCCTGACAAATCTCCAGCTTGGGTCTACAGTGGTTTACAGCTGTGAGGAAGGGTAAGTCCTACTTTGGAGGTGGATTAGGTAAGTGTCCCCCTTTTTAACCCCTGTTCATTCAGTCCCAGTAAATGGATTCTGGATATATATATATATATATATATATATATATGATGGATATATATCTATATATATATATGTGTGTGTGTGTGTGTGTGTATATGTATATATATATATGTATCTATATATAATGGATATATATATCTATATAATGGATATCTATATCTATATCTATATAATTGATATCTATATTTATATCTATATCTATATATATCCCCTATAAATGCTGGGAAATGGGTCAGGCAGATCAGGGAAGGAATTTCCCCTTTAGAGCCACAGCTCTGCTGCCAGCAGGGCTGATCCCACATCCCAGGTGGTTGGGAGGAACAGTAATTCCAGCTGAAATGGCTTGGGGTGAGTGACCAACCCTTTCACCACCAGGCACAGGTTAATTGGACAAGCCAGCAGGCGCTGTGAGGTCTCTGGGGGACGTGTTGCATGGACTGGCCATACTCCCCTCTGTCAGCGTGAGTAGCTCGTGGCTCTGGGGGCTTGCACGGGATCTGGGGAATATTTTCCAGCAGAGATTGCCACATCTTTCCAATCAAAGCTTTCACAGGCAATTCTCCCCTTTGTGGGCAGGAAAATTACCAGAAGGTTTGGAAGTCATAGGAAAGCAGTGTGGGAAAAGGTACAAGATCCCAAGGCTGAAGGGATTATGGAAAGCAACACCTCAGCTGGAGCTTTTCCAGCAGCGCTTGAGCATCCTGGTGCTGACTGACACCAGGAGCCCATTGCAGGAGAGGAAGGGAAAACACGCTCAGCTTAGGGGTTGTTTTGTCAGACCCAGAGAGACCGAGGGTCAGTCCTAAGGAGAGGCAGAGCATTGAGGCAGGGCCAGCAGCGAATCCCAAAATCCCGGACCGGGTTTGTTCCCTCTCTCCGCCACTGGTGAGTGCCCAAGAGCTGCTGTGCTGCTCCTCAGCAATTCCACCTGGGGGTTTCTCTGCTGATCAAGTAGCGTGGCTGATCAGGGCCGTTTCATACGGAAGAAAGAAACATTTGCTGGTACATTCTGAGGTTTTAAAGCGTTTCCCGGATTCTCCAGGTAGGTGTGAACCACGCGTGACACACAGACTGTGCCCGTTCCAAAACTTGGCACCAGGATTTTATACAAGTGCTGCTAAATAAGTACTCGATTTCTTATTTCTTAAAAAGTAGACAACGCAAAGTGTTTACTCCACAGAGAGCTTTGATGACCGCTCTGCTTTCTACCTGCCATGGGGGGGATCCTGTTCCCAACCAGCTCTCAGCTGGGAGGTGGCTTCACCCCATCTTTGGAACCAGTGTTTGTGCCCCACAGCCCGAGGGGTTCCGGGTGCTGTGGTGCTGCTGTTGAGTTGAGGTTGTGCTCCTCTGCAGGCATCCCCTGCGAGCCACCGCCGGACATCCCCAACGGGCAGCACACGGGCCGGCTGCTGAACGAGTTCCACTACGGCACGGCCGTGACCTACAGCTGCCAGCGCGGCTTCCCCCTGCACGGGGAGCCCTCCATCCACTGCACCACCCGCGACGGCCGCAACGGCGTCTGGAGCGAGCCCCTGCCGGCCTGCGGAGGTGGGCAGGGCTGCCCGAGGGTGCGGGGACCCCCAGCCATCCTCCCAGCGCCGCTGCTCCGGGTTGGGAACGGCTGGGAAACTGCAGCTAGCTGGAATTCTCGCCCCAGCATTTTCCAGGGCTGAGGCCAGCAGAGCAGGGGAGGCTGGAGTGCCACCCTGCTCCCCTTTCCCTTTGGAATGTTTGATGTTGCAGGATGCGGGCACAACATCTTCTCTAAGAAAATTATTTTCAGGCTTGCGTCTTAAAATTGCAGCCGTTGTTGGCTTCACATTGCCCAGCTCTGCCTGAGGACAAATGTTGAAATGCCCTGCCCAGCTCTGCCTGAGGGCCTGTTCTGAGCACCTGCACCTCTTTTTTTTTTCCAGAGGCGAACTGTCCTGTCCCACAGCTCCAGCACGGGAGGATCCTGGCTGCCAGGGCTGCCTACGCACACAAGGACACTGTGACCTTCCATTGTGACCCAGGCTATGCCATTCGTGGCCACAGAGAGATCCAGTGCCAGCCAAACAACACCTGGGAGCCGCCTGTGCCCGTCTGCGAGCAGGGCAAGTGTCCCAACAGGTTTTGACCTTCCCCCACTCTCTAAATCCGCCTTTTATGGCTCTTTAACACCCAGGCTGCTCTCTGTCCTGGCAGCTGGCTGCGGAGCCCCTGCCAGGCTGGGCTTTGCCGAGCTGAAGGAGCCCTACAGGAACCAGACAGTGTTTCCTGAGGGGAGCAGGGTGGAATTCGTGTGCCAGCCTGGCTACAGCCAGCTCCTGGGGGTGTCCCCAGCCATCACCTGCCTCAGGAACCAGACGTGGTCTGCAGCCCTGGAGTTCTGTAAAAGTACGTCCTGCAAGCGCGGAAAGCCTGAAGTGGGAGGCTTGGCTGGTTTCTGTGTTTCCCCAGCTCTGTGGGTGCCTCTGCCTGCTCTCCGTGGTGCCATCCCTGCTGGGATGTGGGCACAGCTGAGGGCTGATGGAGGCTGGCATTGCCTTCCAGGGAAGCAGTGCCCCAGCCCAGGGAACCCGGCGAACGGCAGAGCTGTTGTCCTCACAGATCTCCTCTTCGGGTCCAAAATTAATTACACTTGTGACAAAGGGTGAGTCCTGCCCTGGGGAGAGTGAAGTGGATTTTCAGCTTTACACAACCCAGTTCCCAAGTCAGAACTCTTGGCTGCCACTTGCAAGGGTTGTAAAGAAATCTCAAGCTGAAAAAAATCTCACTGTTCAAATAACGAATCCTTCTGTGTGGTCCAGGTACAAGCTGGTGGGAGGCTCCCAGAGAATTTGTGAGGTCTCTGGCAACCACGTCTCATGGAGTGGGGATCCTCCTGTCTGCCAGCGTAAGTAGGCCACCACAACAGGCCCTTGGAGATGGTTTACAAGATAAAGTGGAATTTCTTTCAAGCCAAAGGTTTTATTGCAAAATATTTCTCAAGTCACTGAATGTGTAAAATATTTCCTTTTTCTTTTCATTTTGTTTTGGATATGCTTCTGAAAATGGTTTCAAAGGTATTTTATTTATTCTGGTGCAAACTGGGAAGAAACATTAATGTTTTAAACTTCCTGTTAGTGGGTAAGTATTTCTCACTGGCCAGTCTCTCTCTGTGTCACCAATGATTACGGAAAGGGAGGTAAGAATTGTCCCAGCACTTCCAGACACGGGCAGCAAGGAAGTGACTCACAGGAGGGGACAGATTTCATTCCCATGTGTGCTTTTATCCATGCAAAGTTTGTTCCTGGAGCATCAGGTCATTGAGTCACCGCTGAGGTGGCTTCCCCCGTGTCAGTGCCCTTCCTGGGCAGTGTGTGTGCCCTGCAGCCCGGGCAGTGCTGATCCCCCTGTCCTGCCCACAGGTGTCACCTGCGCTGCCCCTCCGGCCATTCCCCACGGGACACACAGCGGGGGCTCCAGGGACACCTTCTCCCTGGGGGACGTGGTCACCTACACCTGTGCCTCGGGGCTGGCCCCAGCTGGAGACACCTCCCTGTCCTGCACCTCTGTGGACGGGGAGCGCGGCACGTGGAGTGGGACAGTGCCACGGTGCCAAGGTACGGCTCGGGCTGTGCCCACAGCCAGCTCTGGCTGGCCCTGGCACAAGGGACAACCTGGGGGACACAGCTCACACAAGCGCTTTTATTTATTCACAGCAGTTAATGTCAGTGTTCAAAACAACTCGGAGGATTTACAATTTTTTAATCACTTTTCGACGCATAAAATGCATATTTGCTAGTGCTTTACTATAACGGCTTTCTCTTTTTGATGCTGATGGGGGAGTACTATTATTGCTTCAGTTTTCATTACAACTTAATTTGATTTATTGCTTCTGAAGAAGCTCTAAAAACCAGGACGTTGGTTTCTGCTGAAGCAAAGAGCTAAGGAGAGTTCCTGGAAAAATTCCGTATCACCTTGTCCCGGCTGATTGCTCTTGTGTTATCTCGCTCCTTTGCTTTCAGCAGGTTGGGGCTTTTAGGTGTTTATCTTGCCCTGCCCCATTTTTCACCTGCCTTTCCCTGTTCCCGGCAGAGGTGAGCTGCCCTGCCCCGCCGAGCATTGCCAACGGGCAGCACAGCGCCAGCCCCGGCGCCAGGCACAGCCCGGGCTCCGTGGTGCTCTACACCTGCGCCGAGGGCTACTCCCTGCTGGGCGACGCCTCCATCCGCTGCACCGCCAGGGGCACCTGGAGCCGGCCCCAGCCCCGCTGCCGAGGTGCGCTCCTGGGGCTCCTTGCTCCTTCTGGGCTCTCGGTTTAATCACTGCAAGCAAATCCCCAGGGACAGGCAGCGAGCAGAGGTGCCAGGGGCAGGAGCAGCCACATGTGCCCCCATGTGGGTTTCCCTTTCTGTTCCCACTGAGTACAAACGCTCAGGAACAGCTGAATAATGGTATTTAGCCTAAGAACAAGAGTCAGAAATGTTGAAATGCCCGTGACAGGGATGGCAAGGCCCAGCAGCAGGTGCTGTCCCTGCCCAGTGCCCCTCCACAGCCAGGAGGGGTTTCACATCCCCAGCTCTTCACATCTCCTGCTCTTCCCTTCCAGCAATTGGCTGCACCAGGCCAGAGATTGAGAATGGAAAAGTGGCTGGGTCAGAGACCACCTACAACCTGGAGGACATCATCATCTTTGAGTGCAACTTTGGTTATGCCTTGAAGGGCTCCCAAGAGTCCCAGTGCCAGTTTGGGGGCAAGTGGCACCCTCCTGTCCCCAGCTGTGAGAAGTGTAAGTGCAAATGAGGGACAGCTGATTTCTGAACCCCTGTAAAGGAGGTAAAGGGGCTGGGAAGGAAAAAGATGCACATATATGTCCTGCCATCCTTCTAATCCCTAATCCACACCCCTGAACAGGCTGCCTGGGGAGGAGTGGGCATCATCTGGCACCATCCCTGGAGGAATTTAAAAGACATGTGGATGTGGCACTTGGGACATGGGGTAGTGGGCTTTTGAAACCTGAATGTTTCTGTGGTTCAGACCCTTGTTAAATGTAGGGCTGTTTAAATGAATCCACAAAATCTAGGCTGGTACCTGATATCATTAACAACCACAGAAAGACCAGAGCAAGTTATTAGGGCCACAGATGGAAACTAACCACTGTAGATGCCTAAATAGTGAGAAACGATCATTTTTATGTCAATAAGCTCAGAAAACATGAAGGCTGGAAGGTAAGAGAGGGTAGGATGGAAATATCATTCAGTGACAGCCCTCGTTGCTATTGGGCAGAAGTTAATGGGAAAGAACAAAGTTAAAAGGCTGCCTCAGCCTGCAGGGGGGTTTGTGGTACCAGCTCTTGGCTAGCTGGGATGTTTTCCTCTCCTTGCAGTGCCGCCGTGTCCTTCCCCTCCAACTATCAGAAATGGCCAGCACGACAGCAAGGGGGTGGCAGAGTTCATCCCTGGCATGGCAGTGAAGTACCACTGTGACCCAGGCTACCTCCTCACTGGGAAAAGCTCCATTTCCTGTTTGCCATCGGGAGTCTGGAGCATCCCTTACCCCCGCTGTGAAGGTGAGCTGCAAATGCTGCTACCCCCAGTGCAAAGGGAGAGCACTGCACTCACAGGGCCTCCCAAAACCAGAGGAGCACCCTCAGCTCTGGCAGCCATGCCCCCAGCCGTGCCCCCAGCCTGAGCTCTGCTGCTTTTCCCTCCCAGTGATCACCTGCAGCAGCCCCAGCATCAAGGACGGGGAGGTGGCTGAGGGCCGGAGGGCTGTGTACCACCCTGGGGACAACGTCACCTTCCGGTGCCACCCAGGCTTCGTGCTGAGGGGCAGCCGTGGGGCCAAGTGCCAGCCTGACAGCCGCTGGGTGCCCGCGGTGCCCACCTGCCAGCCAGGTGAGCCAGTGACGGCTTTGCCGTGGTGCCAGCGCTGCTCCTCTGGTGAAAGCCCTAAAACAACCTCTGCTCTCTGCTCCTGCCCGGCAGTGCGGCCCTGCCCTCCGCCCCCCGTCATCGCCCACGCCACGCTCAGCGCCGAGCCCGGGACCAACTTCACCACTGGCACCTCCGTGAGCTACAGCTGCCAGCCTGGCTTCTCCCTGCTCGGGGACCCCTCCGTGCTGTGCACGGCCTGGGGCAACTGGAGCCTTCCCTACCCTCGCTGTGCAGGTGGGGCTGCCTCAGCATCCATCCCGTGCCAGGCCCAGAATCCATTCTGTACCACACTCAGCATCTATCCCATGCCAGGCCCAGCCTCCATCCCGTGCCAGGCCCAGCATCCATCCCGTGCCAGGCCCAGAATCCATTCTGTACCACACTCAGCATCTATCCCGTGCCAGGCTCAGCATCCATCCTGTGCCAGGCTCAGAATCCATTCTGTACCACACTCAGCCTCCATCCCGTGCCAGGCCCAGCATCCATCCCGTGCCAGGCCCAGCATCCATCCCGTGCCAGGCCCAGCCTCCATCCTGTGCCAGGCTCAGAATCCATCCCGTGCCAGGCCCAGAATCCATTCTGTACCACACTCAGCCTCCATCCCGTGCCAGGCCCAGCATCCATCCCATGCCAGGCTCAGCATCCCTCCGGTGCCAAGCCCAGCATCCATCCCGTGCCAGGCCCAGCCTCCATTCTGTACCACACTCAGCATCCATCCCGTGCCAGGCTCAGAATCCATCCCATGCCAGGCCCAGCATCCATCCCGTGCCAGGCTCACCCTGGGTCAGGCAAACCTGCCAACCTGCAGGATTGCCTGGCATGGGGAGAACCACAGCAGGAGCTGTGCTCACTTTGGTGGCACTGGGAATAAGCTGGTGGCACTGCTCGAGTTTCCCAAAAGGAGACAGGCTTGGATGTTCTAAACACTGAAATTAAAGATTTATGTACTTTACAGCCCAGAGTTGTGTGAAGGCACCACACTGACCAAACTATTTTTGGGCATTGCTTTATCCTGTTTTGTTTCAAGACCACATAAATTAAGTGCCTGTGTCCTTATATGCAGAGTGTTATTTGATGCAGACAAATGTCAGACTACATAGAAGATGCATTAATAACTTGGGGCTTAGCAGTGCCTATCAATGCACCTGTTTCTCTTTAGCTGCATTTCACAGCCAAGGACACATTTCTCATGCTCATTTCATTTCTTGGCAGCCGGTTGTGGCACACCAACACCGTTGCTATTTGCTGAGCTAAGCAAGGAATATGAAAATCAGACTGAGTTTCCTGTTGGGATGACTGTGAACTACACTTGTCGGCCTGGATACGTGGAACAGCCACAGATAACACCATCTATCACATGTCTTGAAAATCTAACATGGTCTGAAGCCCAGGAGTTTTGCAAAAGTAAGTTTTGCAGCTGCTTCTAATTGGCTTAAATTGTTGTGCGCTGAAGCCTTGTAATTTCCCCTTCATCACTCCATCCTTTGGAGGGTTTGGGCAGACTCCTGGAAATAGTGATTCTTCCCCTATGACACTGAGTTAAAGAAGCTTAAAATCAGCTAATCTCGACCCCTGCCATGAGCACCTTCCACTACCCCAGCTTGCTCCAAGCCCCGTCCAGCCTGGCCTTGGACATTTCCAGGGATGAGGCAGCCTCAGCTGCTCTGGGCAGCCCCCTGCCCACCCTGACAGGCAGGAATTCCTTCCCAATATCCCACCCAACCCTGCCCTCTGGCAGTGGGAAGCCGTTCCTGTCACTCCATCCCTTGTCCCAAGTCCCTCTCCAGCTCTCTTGGAGCCCCTTTAGGCACTGGAAGAGGCTCTAAGGTCTCCCTGGAGCCTTCCCTTCAGGCTGAACAACCCCAACTTCCCCACCTGTCCCAGGGTCGTGGCCCTGCCCTTTTCTCAGTTTTGCTTTGTCCTCTCTCTTTAGTGCTGCAATGCCCTTCACCACCAAATATTGCCAAAGGAACCCACGACAGCCAGGACTTGGAGGTTTTTCCCACTGGGATGGTTGTGAACTACAGCTGTGACCCTGGCTACAGCCTCCGGGGAGAGGCGTCCATCTCTTGCACCAGCTCTGGCAACTGGAGCCTCCCTCTCCCTCAGTGTGCAGGTACACTGCGGCTCTGAGCTTGGACTTATGGCACTTTCTACCTGTAGGATTCATCCTTACCCTTCCCAAAATTCTGACTCCTTTACCCTCCCCTTCTTTTACCCATTTTGCACAACGATTTTAAGCCGTACATACGCAAAATGCATTTTAAAACAATTTTTGTGGTTGACATCCCCATTTCTTCCCTTGTTTTCTCCCCTGACAGGTGGCTGTGGTGCACCTCCAAACCTCACCTTTGCTGAGCTAAGCAGGCAATACAGAAATCAGCTGGAATTTGCTGTTGGGGACACTGTGAGCTACAGCTGCCGGCCGGGACACTCGAGACGCCCCGGAGTGCCCCAAACTCTGACTTGTCTCCAAAACCACACGTGGTCTGAAGCCCTAGAGTTCTGTAAAAGTGAATAGCTCCATCCATTTGGTGTTGGTTATTGGAAATTGTCTGTTTTGTGGGTTTTTGAAGGAAGGATTGGTACATGGCTTTACTAGTCACACGGTCTGGGCCGCTTTGGGCCTTTTTGAAATCACATCTTTGTTGGTGGCAGAACTTGGACAGAGCCTTAAGGTACCTTCTCATAGTGTGTAGCACAGCCTCAAGAGAGGAGTTTAAACAAAGCCTTGTTCTTTCCCAGGGAAGCAATGTAGACACCCAGAACCCCTCAGGAATGGCAGAGTTGTTGTTCTGACAGATCTCCTTTTTGGGTCAACTGTGAGCCACTTGTGTGATGAAGGGTGAGTCCCACGCTGCCTTTGCTGACTCTGTGTCTGAGTTTGGTGGTGGGTAAACAATCAGAGCCCACTCCTCTGTACAGCTGTTCTCCCACAGCAGACCTGAATTGGAATTTTGGTTCCAATTCCGCTGTAGTTGCCTGCTCCAGAAAGGGAGAACTGTCTCATTCTTCCCTCCTGTGCTCAGCAGATTAATTTGCAAACCAGTTTCAGTTTTCCTTCTCAGATGCCCTTGAGCAGGAGCTGAGAGTGGGAGCAAGGCCGTGCTGCAAGGAGGCTCCAGCCCTTTGGAAATCAGTTGGGTCCCGATTTATCACCTGACCAATCTAACCCAGAGTTTTTGGGGTCAGTGTTGCTCCCCTTGGATCTGGGAAGAAGCAACTTTGCATCCTTCATTCCCATGTGTCAAACCAGCAGAGTGACCTTGGTGATCAGCTGGAATCAGGAGGCTGCAGAAGGAAACCTCTGGGGAGGGAAAAATCCAAGCTGAGGGGCTTGGTATGAGCTGATATTTCTCTCTCTGCACCTGCAGGTACAGCCTGGTTGGAGAGTCCCACAGGAGATGTGAGATTTTGGGACGAGATGTTGCCTGGACTGGTGTGCCTCCCATCTGTAAAAGTAAGTAGGTCACCACTATATTGGGGCCAAAATTGCCATATTAAGTCCTTAAAATTAAAAAGTGTTTCCTTTAAATAAATTGAATTAAATGAATAAGACTATTAAAGGATAATATTCCTCTGGGATAGTTTTTAGGGGTTTTTTTATGCTTGCATATTTGGTTTCTTCTAAAAATCTTCCACATGTAAGCTTTGATCTGTCACAGCAATTCAGACTGAAGAGTTGTGAGATGCCTGCAGGGACTTGTCCCCTTTGTTTCACAACAGTAAATAAGAAATCAAGTGAAAAAATATGTTTTGTAGAAGAGTGATACTTTGAGTACCATTGAAATGGAATTTTCCGAACCTGAACTGTTAACCAAAGCACAAGGATGTTTTGCAGGGGTTGATCATTGCAATTAGTCTTTTTTTTTTTCAGATGGCATTGCTTTTTGAGGTTGGGACAGTAAAGCATTCACAAGAATGACAGTACTGACAGATTTCTACCCCATTCCATGTATTTATTAGAATATATTCACGCCATCTATGTTTATATATATATATATAATACTGGGGTATCCTTAAGGTACCTAAAAGAACTGAAACCCCTCCCCTCAGTTCCTGGAATTATTCTTATTCTCTAAGTCCTACCTGTGAATCTGCTCTGAGCACACTGAGAATGGGCTTTAGGATGCGTTCATTCAGCACCCACATGGCTTTGTACCCCTAAATTGGAGTTTCTCTTTCAGGGGTGGTGTGCCCAGCCCCACAGGTGCAGAATGGGAGGGTGGCTGTCCCCAGGCCCCGCTACACCTACGGGGACTCTGTCACCTTCAGGTGCCGCAGAGGCTTCACCCTGCGAGGCCACCCCACGTCCCAGTGCCAAGGGGACAGGAGGTGGCACCCACCTGTACCTGTCTGTGAGCAGGGTAAGGATCAGCTCTTGGGCTTGGTGGCACTGCACGTTCCTCCTGGTTTCTCACCTGATTTCTGTCCTGCCCGCTTACCAAAGCCAAAGTTGGTTTTATTTTTCCTGTTTGCTACAACTACTTTAAGGAGAACTCAGAAATTTTACCTTTCATTTATGTCTCTCTTCACACACAGGAGATGAGCAGGGCTTGGGTAATGCTGTAAGTACTGACATGATTTGCACTTTCTCACACTGCTTGTTGCAATCCATAATCCACATTCTCGTAATTCCCTGGAAATGTGGAATTTGGTAGCTGCAGGACACTGACTATCAGAGAGCTGTGAATTTTTTTCCTGGGAATATAACACCAGGATGATGGGAAATGAAGGTAAATGTGTACATTTTATTTGCTCAACCATGTTTTTAAACTCTTAATGCTGCATTTAGATGGAGTGTCGGAACGTTATCACCACCCTGATAAAAAACCCACAGCAAAGCCAGGTAGGTCTGTTACCTGAAGAGGCAAGATTTGATTTACTAATCACTAACTCCTCCTCCCAACCTGTCCTCCTTTTTTGAGGGAACTTTGCAGAGGGTTGGGCAGAGCTGTTGGGGTCAGTGCTGGGGGAGGGAGCATTCAGCCTTCCCCAGCTGTTCAGAAGTTTTCCCTCTTGTCTCTCTGAGCTCTGCTTTGATCTCCACTCTCTGTTTTCAGTGCTGCACTGCTCCAAGCCTGCAGATATCACCCACGGGTCTTTCCGTGGCCCAGCAAAGGCAGTTTTTACTGTGGGAACATCTGTAAACTACATCTGTGAGCCTGGCTTCTCCCTCCTGGGGACAGCATCCATTTATTGCACAGAATCTGGAGCCTGGAGCCATCCTCCTCCCGTCTGTCAAGGTTTGTTTTGGCTGCAGAGAGCAAAGAACAAAGGACATTTAACAAGCCTTGCCTTAGGGGAAGGTCTGTAGAAGGTCTAAATCTCAGTACAGAATGTGTGATAAGCCCAAGCTCGAGTTTTAACCTTTCCAAAGCCTGCTGGAGTTACAGGGGTCCGGGCTGTTGAGTGCAGGGAAAGAAATTCAAAGGGAGCAGTCGAGGCTGCAGAGGGACGGTGCCTCAGTCACTCCCTGGCCACCCTTCAGCATCCTGGTGATTGTCTCTCCCTGCCTTTGCAGCTGTGAAGTGTCCGCAGCCTCCAAGCATCACCAACGGGAGGCTGAAAGGCAACGCCTCTGCCACCTTTCCCCCCGGAGCCGCTGTGTCCTACGGCTGCGATCCCGGTTACTCCCTGCTTGGGAACGCTTTCATCAACTGCACGGGGTCGGGGTCCTGGAGCCAGCCCCTCCCGCAGTGCAAAGGTGAGTCTGTGCTTCCTCTGATCTTTGGAATTCCACCTGGGACTCGGGCACTTTCCCAGTTCTGCAGAATGCGGAATGAGAATTAATTCCTGGCTAACCTCAGAAGGAACTCCAGAGCAATGTCCTGAATAATCCACAGCTGTGTTTCTCATATTTTGTGTTCCCTCTAAATGTCCTCCTTTTACTGCTTCCAATTTCAGAGATCAGATGTGAATTCCCGGATGTCCAAGGTGTTAAAAAAGCCATTAAAGGAAGTACTTATCGCTCTGGCACTAACATCACTCTTGAATGTGACGATGGTTACGCGCTGGAAGGCATCAGTCACACCCAGTGCCAAGAGGATTTCAGCTGGGACCCTCCCGTGCCAGCCTGTAAACTGAGTGAGTGGAACGTAAACAGAGCAAAGATCACACAGAAGATGCAAATGCACTTTAAACATGCAAATGTCTGGCTGCATTTTTAAAATAAGGAAGTGTACAGGGGTGTGGTTTTCAGAAACCTGGTGTTGTGGTGTTAGCAGTGAGACACTGGCATGGGGAAGGTGTGGCTGGCCCTGGTTCCCTGGCAGAGTCCCAGGCCAGGTTGGACACTGGGGTCTGGAGCAGCCTGGGACAGTGTAAGGTGTCCCTGCCCATGGCAGCGGGGTGGAACTGGATGAGCTTTAAGTCCCTTCAACCCAAACTGTCTTGTGATTCTAAAAGGTTTATTGGTGTTGATTAAGGACAGTTGAGAAATGCTGTATTTTGGTTGAACAGTTTGCTGATTTTCCTTTTCTCCCTTCCCTCCAGCGTCCCCCAAGCCCGGGTCAGTAGGCCTAGGTAAGCAGCTCACAAACATTTTTGTCCCCAGCTCAGTGGCCTCAGTGGCACAGCCTCCCTCTGCTTACTCGGCAGATACACCCAGTTGTGCATTTTGTGTACTTTACACAGTGAGAATAACCTGCATTCTTCTCCCTCAGGAGTGGCAGCTGCAGCAGTTCTGCTGCTCTTGGGGGCAGGTGTTGTCTGGAAAATCATTTCCAAGCAGAAGCAAGGGTAAGGCAGCTCTGGCTCTTTGTTCCTGTCCCTTGGTGCCAAGCCCCAAGCTTTATAGGCTTCATACACTTGAAATATTTGCCTCAGTGTTTCCGGGCCCTGTAATTCTGTATCTTCAGCTCAGGTTGCAAATGATACAACCTGGAACTCATGGTGTGGTTAAGTCATTTTATTTCAAGCCTCTCTTTCTTAAAGGAAACCAAACCAAGTGCTCTTTTACAAGGCAATTCATTGTTTTCTTCTTTTTCACGTAGCTATTATCATACGTATGAAAACTATAATTACAGAACCCCCCTGAACCCAGACACTGAACACGAAGGCTCGTGTCTGCCATAGGAGGTATGGATTTGTATTCCTCAGCACAAAATACCAGTTAGAGCTGCAATAACTATACTGTCATTTGTTTATATTGCTGACTGCATTGTCTCCTTGAATGACTATTTTCCTAATACAATAATTCAGCTAGAAACCTCTTTTCTTTTTGTCTTCTATAGGATATTTTCTTTTGCTGAATAGAAGATGTTTTAAACATATTGGGGGTTTAAAACATCCTATTTTTCTTTCTGACACCACCCTCAAAGTGTGTCTTCCCTTTTCCACAGTCTGGATGGTTGGTGTGCACAGGTCAGACTTCCAGACCAGTCCTTGCTTCTGACTTAAAGCTGCTTTTAATTTGTACAGATTATGAAAAAGCTGAAAAACTGCATCAGCAGTAGAAGAATCAGAAAAGGACACTGAACTTGGTTCCTGGGGTTTTTTATTGCGTTCATACTGACTAAAATGGTGTTTTTACTTACAAGTGAATCTGTTTTCTATGGTGGATCTATTGGAGCCAGCAGTGAATTTTCAATGTTAACAGCACTTCACCTACAAAGTGGGGCATGCAAACAATATCAATTTTGTGTAATTTCTTTGAAACAAAGCATTTCCTAGAAATTCTCTCCTCTCTCTCCGGGTGGCGATGGAATCTCTACACACCAGTACAAAGCCAGGAAATCCTGATTTCAACACCAGGATATCATCTCTTTCCTAGGCTGGAAAGATATCTCATCCCTGCTGCTGCTAACCAGGCACCCAGCTCGTTCCCTGCAGCGAGGAAGCGCCGCTCACACGGATACTGGAATTCTGTGGCAAAAAAAAAGGACATTTTACTGTAAATCTGCAATGCTCAGTTACTGTAAGGATCTGATGAGGCTCAGACTGCACACAGTGCAGGTGCTGCCTCTGAGGGAATTCTGTGCACTGCTCCTGATGAAGAGTATTTCCTTTGTCCCCAAAAAACTGGATAACCCCAAGCCTTGGTGGGAAGAAACAATCAATAATGCACTGGCCCTATCCCCCATTCCCTGTCTCCCTATGCCCACCAAAATATACCTGAACAAATGTGGGAGTAACCATGGGTTAATTAATGTCTTAATTACAGCTGTATTTACATCTTTATTTCCTTCCAGCAACGCTTATGTGCAGTGTTCCTCTACCAATGCTTAACCTAATAAAAGCTGGTGATGACAATTCTGTGTCTTCTTTTATACCCAGAACTTTAAGTCTTTTCTGTTTTGGCTTTTTAAAACTTTTTTGGGCTGTTCTATTTTAATGCTGCTCCACCACGCACGGGATTTAACTTCAAATTTAACTTCCAAAGGCGAGCAGCACTGCACAGGAATGTCCATCCTGAGCTGGCTGTTATTTTTAATTTATCACTGTTGGTGTTCCAATGTGGCACCTAAACACACTTTAATTTTTTTCCCTCTTTCCTTGAGCTGCCCAGGAAAGGATTCAATCTCCTCACACCCAGGGCTGTAATGCGCCGAGGGTGTTGTAAAATGAGGAATATGTCCACATATTCCAAGATTACCAAGATTCCAAGATTACTTAAGTCAGGGCATTCTTTGGTGGAAGATCTTTGTATACTTTCAATCCATAAAAAAGGAGCAGGCAGGAGCATCCTAGTCAAGGGCATCCCCGAATGAACTATCTTTAAGGATGAAGTAAATCAAGATGCTGATGAATGTATTTGGCAAAATACTCAAGGCGGAAGTATTCTTCAGTTGAACAGCGATTATTACGCTGCTAAAAATCACACATTGGCTTCAATCAGAGCCTTCCCCGAGCATGCGTTGAACCGAGCCGGGACTGCGTCATTAGCGTAGCAATTAACTCATCACAACACAGCGGCTGTGCCTGGAAACCGCCCTACCCTGCAGCCCTGTGTGTAACACCGGCACGCAGACCTCGGTCCGTGGATTATCAGCGATCCCTGACCGACCAGCGGCCCGAGCTGTCCCCACGGTGCCGCCCCGGCGTGAGGGGCCCCGGCGGGCGGGCCCGGCCATGGCGGAGCCGCGCTGAGGGCGGGCCGGACGGGGCGGGCCGCGCATGCGCACCCGGCCCTGCGCTGCGTCTCCGGCGGCGCCGGGAGGGAGCGGAGCGGCCGCAGCCGCGGCCCTGCTGCGGGAATGGAATGGCTCTCGGTGCTGCCGCTGCTGCTGCTGTCGCTGTCCGTGCTGGTGCTGTGGCAGCTCGGCGGAGCCCGGGCTCAGGGTGAGACAGCGGCCGCTCGCTCTTTGCTCCGCTGAGCGGGCGGTGCCGGTGGGGAAGGGGCGCTCGGAGCGGCGGGCGCGGCGCGGAGCCTTCGGGGGCCGCGGCTGGGAGGAGCGATCGGGGTCGGGATCGGGATCGGGATTGAGATTGGGATCGGGGTCGGGATGGGGAGGGCGAGGCTGGCAGGAAGGAAGGAAATGGCTCTAAGGGCGGTGGTGCAGCCGCGAGGGTTTGGGCGGGTTTGAATCGAGAGAATCGTGACATTGTTCGGGTGGGGAGAGACCTCAAAGCGCATCCCGTTCCACCCTGCCCTGGGCAGGGACACCTGCCGCTGAGCCTCCCTCCAGCCTGGCCTTGGAGCCGGTTCTAAACTCGGCTTTCTGTCCCTCAGACCCGCTTTCCTTTTTCCTTAAGAAAGGACAATGAGCTCTGTGAGTGCGGCTGGCGTGTTTGTTTTTCGTGCAGCAAACGAAATGGGTGTACAGTGAGTGAAGTCGGGTGTTTAACTACAAAATAAAGGCAAACAGACAAGAATCTGAAAATAGGATCTGGAAGGAAGTGCATTGTCTGGGTAGAATGACTAAAGAACTTAAGGAAACAGTGAGTAACGTGCCATATACATGAGTAGAGTTGGACGCTGCACACAGTTAAAACGCAAATTAAAAAATTTGGAACGACTTAAATATATCCTTAAGAGCTCTGGAGTGATTCTGTCCCCTGTGCTGTTACACCTCAGTGTGTTTCTCTTCTTGTCGCTAAGGTGATGTGTTGTTTTTTCCCTCCTCTCCCAGGCTCATGTCCCAAGCCAGAGCGGCAGCAGAATGCAGAGCTCGATGAGAACTCCAGGGACATCCAGAATTTTCCACCTGGAACCAAAATCACCTTCGTCTGCCGGCCAGGATACATAAGGGTCCCAGGGAAGTCACTGACCTGGATGTGTGGTGAGGACTTGCAGTGGTCAGAAACAAGCGTGTTCTGTAAAGGTGAGTTTTTGTACCCCTTTCTTTCCCACTGACATTTAACAGTTCCAATTGCTTTGCAAGTGGGAATTAGGGTTTTGCCATATTTTAAATAAAGCTTGGAAAACGCTGGTGTGGGTAAGAGCAATAAGTGCCAAAGATTTTGTCTTTGTATGTAACTACAAAAATGTAGAATTTTTTCTTTTCTTTTTCTTCCCCCCGCCGCCTTCCCCCAGCGAGACAATGTAAATACCCAGGATCCTTGGAAAATGGTCATTATGATCCAGGAGATCTTGCATTTGGTTCAAAATTGACATTTCATTGTAATGAAGGGTAAGTGTTTTGGTGAAGTTAATATTTTCTTTTTTTTTTTTTTTATGTTTACACCAGATTTGAAATAAACCCAAATTTTCTGTTCCAGTTCTGACCTGAAGTCTGAATTCTACCTGTAGCAAATAAAATTACAGCAAAATTTAATTTGATTCTCTGATTTAATTACTCTTTGCATCAACCTGAAGTTTTTTAGTGAGATTCTGCAGAACTGCAGTGTTACCTCTGGTGACTTCTTTTAATGCCCCTGTGGCAGAGGGGGTAGATATATATTCATCATCCTTCATTATTGAATAATTAAGTCAACAACACTAAGGAGGGTTTTTTCCTTTTCCTTGAGTATCAGTAATTTTAGGACTTTAATATTGGAGGATATTTCTAAAAATTGTAAGACTTCCACAGTTCCTTAGTGATTTCTCTGTTGTTTCTGTTTTGTTTTCAAAGTGAGACTGTCAGCAAAATAAGCAAGATTCTGTTCTCATTACAACAAAACCTTGGTGTGTTATGTCCCTGTAATCACAGAACAGAATTATTGATAAGAACCAATTTTTTTGTGCTTGTTGGAGAAATGAGAAATTTAAATTTCGCTTCTTCAAAATTTTTACCTGTCCAGATACAGATTACGGGGTAAGGGAGAGATTTCCTGTGTAATCTCCATGAGTGGAGGTGTTGACTGGAATGGAGCTCTGCCTTACTGTGAAAGTAAGTAAATTACTGCTGTGTTTGATTTTCTGTTCAGAGGGGGTAGTTTATTTACAAACAGCTGTGCCACCAACTTGCCAGTATAAAAAATGATGGGAAAGCAGGGATGGTTTTTTTCGTTTCTCCTTGGGTTATGCCTGATGATTGACCACAGAAAAATGTCAGTTTTGGTGGTAATTGTCTCCTATTAAAATCATATTATCTCATTTAATATCTCATATTAAAATCAACCTCTTGTTGAAGCTGAGGTTCTGTAGCTTGACTTCGAGTGGCTGTGTCAGGTTTTCAGTGAAATGACTGGAAAGCCAAGGCTTGCTCTTAGAGATGAACCAGCTAACACAGCAAAACCAACCTGACCAGTTTTTGTGCTTGATTTACAGTAATTCCTTGTGAGCCACCTCCCAAAATAGCCAACGGGGAGTACGAGGAGAGAGACAGCTACGTGTACCAGACCTCAGTGACCTACAGGTGCCTGGGTGCCCCCCAGGGCAGTGATCCCTTCTCCCTCATTGGCCCAGAAACCATTTACTGCACATCTGATGCACACTCAAACGGAGTTTGGAGTGGGCCACCTCCAGAATGTCGAGGTTGTTGGGATTTTTCTTTTTTTTCTTTTTTTTTTTTTACAGTGTCTGGCCCTTTCCTTGGAAGTGGGGTGGGGAGAATGGACTTAGCCTCTAGGAAAGGAGGAAGAAATGCTGTGGTACAAAGTTTGGTACAGTTCCAGTGGAGATTACATCAGCATGGTGGATATGGAAGGATTATGAGTAGAATATTGCTAAAATTTAAGTTAAAGCTTGGAAAATACCTGTATTTTGAGTGTCTTGTTGGTAGAAGTGACAAGGCCAAAGTGAAGGGACTGGGAGACCACAAATCCTGCAGAAAAATTGTGTCAAGGGCAAAGATGTGGGGGCTGGATAGGACTTGTAAAAAGCTAAGGAGGAATCCTGTTCCTAAAAACACAGCCACCAGGGAAGTGCAGGAATCAATGTTTCTACAAAGCTTCTCCAAAACAACTTGTGGCAATTGGCATGTAGGGAAAAGGATGTTGTGTTTGGTGCAATGTTTGTGTTAACAGGTGTTTCCAAGCTTTGTTTTCATTGGTAACAAATGTTTGTGTTAACAAATGTTTGTGTTAACAGATGTGTCCAAGCTTTGTTTCTGTTTATTAACGCATGTTTGTGTTAACGAATGTTTTTCCTCTTTCAGTGGTCAAATGTGAGGACCCCAGAGTTGAAAATGGGAGAAAAATATCTGGATTTGGATTTCCCTACAGATACAAGGACTCAGTTGTGTTTGAGTGTAATCAAGGCTATTTCATGGTTGGAGCACAGGTAATTACCTGTGAAGAAAGTAACACCTGGGTTCCTCCACAACCAACCTGTGAGAAAAGTAAGACTTTCTGTAATATTCCCTTTTCTCTTGTGTGTTGAAAGTGTTTTAGCTAAAATAGAGCATCCTGGTGTTGTAGTGATTTCATGGGTGAAGGCAGGAGAAAAGATGTGGAATACAGGAAAAAATATTTGATCCAGGGAATTAGGAGTATGCACAGTGAGGAAAGCTGTAGTATCCTTCTGGAGTAGTTCAAGTCTTTGTGTGTGTTTTTTAATGCAGCTCTTCAGCTCCTGCTTTCTCGAAATGATTCTAGAGCTCAGAGAAATAATGAACCAGTAAGGATTTCTGAGCTGCCATGTCACAGGATTGTATTACCCTAATGAATGTCTACAGTGATGTTTAAGTTTTCTAAGGGGAATATTTGCACTTTAAATTGGGGTAAAGTTAAACTTCTGACATGTGCTGAGCTATTTTTCTTACATGAAGGCAACTTGTGTTTGTGGAATGAGTTACTGAGTTATGAAATATGCTTTATTCTCACTAATCTTGTTTTAAATTCCTGTATTAGTTACTCCAGATTTGTGTCCTGCCCCGAAGATCCCCAACGGGGCCCTGATTCCAGACAAACCTGCCTATACAAGAGGAGAGTCAGTGCAGATCAGGTGCAATGGTGGCTGCTCCTTCCCTGATGGCTCTGCAGAGATGACAGTGACCTGCCAGGGACAGAGTTCCTGGGGTGTTTTACAGCAGTGTTCCTGTGAGTAAAATTGCTAAAATCAGGAGCAGACTGACAAGTTGTAAATATCTGATCTAGTAATACTTCTTTTTGTTTTTTTTCCTCCCACCTTTTCTTTCCAGGTGAATCTGAAGGTTCTGGTTCCACACCAGTCATAAACCATGGGAGAGTGGTAGAGGGAGAAAAATCTTCCTACTCTGTGGGGGATTTCATTACCATTGAATGTTACACGGGCTACACCTTGAATGGGGAGGCTCGGATTCAGTACGTTGGAAACAACCAGTGGGTGCCTGCAGTGCCAACCTGCCAGCTCAGTAAGTACAGGCTGCAAAATCTCCACTAGGATGAAAATACAGCTCAGAAAACAGTCCTTTTGTGCTCAGGAGAAATGATTTAATGCAGCTTCCTTCTTTATTTTAATGGGAAAAACAGGGTTTGTTAAAATGAATTAAAATATTCATATTCGAAGTTAAATATTATTATTTAAATTAGTCTGCCTCAAAGATTGTGTTGATAGAAGTACTTGACTTGAAATAGCTCTGTGAATATTTTTATGATAATATTTGAGCAAGAAGCATCTGTGTTCCTCTTGTGATGCTGATTCCTTCTGTTTTCAGGTGGATATATCATAGCCATCATCTGTGGTAAGTATTTTCTAAAACCTTAAAAAAATACGATACAAATTATATTTTTTTATGTGAAAGTCCATTTTTTTATTCCAATCACCTGGGACTGCAGCAGAGTGATTTTGGAGTTCTGGTTAAAGCTGCATGATTCAAAGAAAGATGACTTAGCTATTACAGTTTAATTTAGTGTGAAATGTGTATTTTCTCATGTGGTGAGGTCACATTTCAAAGGCAGTTTCCAACAAGTAAATATTCACTGTGAGTAAATAACTCTGCCAGTGAACAGAAGTGTTCAGTTCATCCTCTGTCCTTGCCTTCCTTAACCAGATTTGTACAAACTTGTAAAAAGTAACACTGGGGCCCTGTCATTCCTGTTTTAGTTTCTGAGCTGGTGGAGTTTTGCCATCTTGGTGGTCACTGGTTCTGAGCTGAACTATCTTGAAGAATCAAATATTTAATTTACATGGCTCATTCCATAAATAAGTTGGGTTGTGGGTTTTTTTAGGGGGGTAGAGGTGGGATAGACCTGTAGATGAAAACAAGGCTATTTCTGCAAAATTTTCATTGCTTTTTTGTGAGCTGGAGATGATCTTTATTACTCTAAAGTGCTTTTTTTTTTTTCCACTTCTTCCTAAAGTGATTGTGGTAGTTGTGGTGCTCCTGGCAGCCTTCTGGATCTACAAGAAATTCTTCTCACAGAATGGGTGAGTAAGCTTCCTTTTTTTTAATCCTGCAAGTTTCCAAATGACTGAGCCAAAGCTGTGCTGATGTTTAAGTTTCTTGAGCTTTGTGTGCCCTTTCTTTTTCAAACGTCTGATTTTGTGTGAGCTCCTCCCAGCAGCTGATGGGAGCTAAAGCCTAACCATGAATTTGTCTTTGGTTTTGAATCTGCTGTTCAGCTAGGCTGCTAATTAACACTTGCACTAATTTCAAGGAGGGAAAAACCCTGTTCTCAAGCTTGTGTTTGCCAAGGAAAGTATTTTGTCCATCTGCTTCAAACATATCAGTTTATCTCCTAAAGCCAGGGGGAGTCTTGGTTGTATGGGCTCGTGCTGCCAGAAGGTTTTCAGGTTTTTATTCTCCTCCTTCAGCCCCAATGTTGGTGTCCCTATGTTAAAGACTTGCAAAATCAACTGTAAAATACTTGATTTGTGCACAAGCAATTAGTGTTCTGTTTTTAATGAGACATGTGGGGTGTTTTAAAGTTTATCTTCAAAACAACTGGGGTTTATGTGTGTTTTTTCATGGAGAGGCAGGAGATTTAAGTTCCTCTTTGTGCATTGCTTTTTGCTGTGATGTCTGATTTTATCTTCTGGGAAAAAACTTTTTGTCAGAGAAATATTTTGTAAAATGCAAAACGCTGCCGGTCCAGGGCAGGTTAGGTGGTACACATGGAATGCCAGGGTGAGCATCTCATCAGTGTTGTCTTTTTCCAGAACCTGTTGGGATTTATCTGCAGTACATGACCCAAAGGAAGGAATGCTTTAAATGAAGCAAACCAGAGGGAATATTCCTGTGGTTCATATTTGTAATGAGGTCCACACAGAGGACTTGGGAGAGGGTTTTTATCCAGTGAGGTTTTAGCCTTAAAAATAGACAGTGGAGTATCAATCCAAGGGCCAGAGTGTGCTCTGAGCAATTTGGTGCTTTTGAGCCACTGCTTTTATTCAGTACTTGGATATTCTGCAGCCTGGATGGGCCAGAGGAGAGCTCTTGCAGTTCAGGGCAGCACTTGCTGCCTTCACCCGTGGAGAGACTTCTCAGGGCCTAGAAAGCAGGAGGGATCTAAAGCAGCATCATCAAAAATTAAACTCTGTGACATCCCTGAATATCTGACAGCATGAAAAGCCTCATTGTGCCTAGTGCTTCCCTTCATCTTCCTCTCTGAACATCTGACTGTTAAAGCTCTTTCTTGTCTGAAAACCCTGATCTAATCTCCTTTTATGAAAGCCTCCATCTCCCTGTTTAGTGTTCTGAGTTCCTGATGCAGCTGAGCCTTTGTTGTTGTGCTTCCAGCCCCTGATCCTTGCAGTTTGTAGCCTCCAAGTGACAGCAGATCTTTCCTGGCCTCTGTTTCTTTGTGTGTGAAATGCCCTTGGATGGGACATTCAATTAGACCTTTCTCCCTTTCTGCTGTTCAGCTCGTACACAGTTGATGAGAGTTGCAAGGACATTTGTATTTTAAAAACTAATGTCCCAGCTGAGATGGAAGAAACTGCACAAATGAATTAATGAAAAGGTATAACTTTCCACTTCATTTGGACTTTTTGCAATGCAGCTTAAGTGTCTTTTTTATTGTGGTTTGCTTGGAATTTCAGGAGTGTGGAATCCTGAAGAGTAGCTGGGAACCTTGACTTCCTGTAGGAAAGAATCTCTTGACTTTTCACTCATTTTGGGAGAACAGGATATAATATGTAGAGATTTATCATTTAGCAGTGTCAGTAAGAGCTTCCAATGATTGTAAATCACATTTTCTTGGTGTTGTGTTTGAAGAATGAGTAGCACATTGCCTACAATACTCAGAAGAATGTCTGCACCCGTCCCAGTGGTGAGTTACTTTTCTTAGCTAATAGTTTAATTCCCTGTAATTAGAAGCTGGAACCACCTTTGGGCACTAAAACTCTAAAGGTAGTTGTGCATCCCTTCAGAGAAAACCAGCTCACATCTCTCACCATTACTGATTCATCTGCATTTTTGCTTTCTAGAAAAGAATAAATGAAGGGTCTAACAAGGATCTTTTGAAACCTTCTTATGAAAAGGTGATTTCTGTTTCAAACCCAGAGTTCTGTGGCCCTGAAAAGAATCAAAATTCAGTTGCTTTGAAGCTGATGTCCTCTCCTGTATTTTAACCTCACTCCAATGAGATGCCTGTGATGAATTTTGGGGTTCCTCCTGCACTTGTGTAGGGTCAAATGAGCTCTTCCAAAATCTGGTTCTTCCTGCCTTGTTTGAACTGAACACTGCAGACAGGACAGCTCAGTTTGACTTCTCCTTGCCAGTATTTTGTCGTTGCAATCTCAACAGATCTGGAACTACAAATATTTTTTAAAATCAGCATCTTCTTCTTTTTTTTTTGGTGGTGATGGGTTCTCTTATTCCTGCTTAATGCAAAGGTCTTTTCATGTGCATAGTCTTGATTTTATTGACTTGTAAAGAACGGGTGAATTTTCAGTATTTTTGTTGAGTTTTTATATGAATATTAAGCTTGGAGTTTATTCCAAAATAATGTATAGATTAAGGAATATTACCTTCACTCTGAAGAAAGATATTTCTAATTAAGATAGGATCTGCTTTTTGGGTTAATTTGGCTTATTTTTGGAGAGAAAAAAATGTATCAGGAGATAGAATAGAATTCTTCATTCCAATCTTACCTTTACACATGATAAGAGAAATTACTGGTCTGGTGTGTCAAGACACTGGTAGTTCTGGAGGTTTTCTTATGGAATAAGGAACTCCTTAGAGACTTGGAGTAATAGCACTGAGCTTTGGTATGGGGTGGGTTTTTTGTTAAAGCAGAACAGGAGTTATTCAAGAACTTGGGACATATTTAAGAATATCATTGTGAATTTTAATTCTTGTGTATTTAAGTATTGTAAAGTTGCTGTTAGTGGACTGCAGAATCAAAATCCACATGAACAAATATTTCAGTTTTGGTTAGGAAAAAAATACTAAGCAGACTGTAATTAAAATGAGTTCCAGGGTGCACCTGGTGGAGTTATGGGAATCCTGTAACTGTTCTGGTGTTAGTTTTTGGTCATACCAGGCATCACTTGGAATGATCCCCTTGGATCTAAGGCTGTGCTGCTCCTTGGGTCATTGCTGACAGTTCAGTAGCTGAATGAAGCTAAAATCTCCTCAGTGCAGCAGTTGGTAAAGAGAGGCTAAAGAATGAGGCTAAATTGTGACTTCACCTGCAGCTTTAATGCCAAAACTAAGGATGTGCTTTCAGTGTAAATGTAAAACCTCTTGCAATGTGAAACCCTCTGATCTGACTTGTTTTTTTGTTTGTAGGAAACGTGACAGCACTCCCAGTTCTGCCGAATATAAGATGTGTAAACCATGACTGCCCTTGCTGGGGTGGGAGGGTCTGGGCACTGGGATGTCCCTGGCAGAGCTGGACAAGGATTGGTTCCCTTGCACTGAGTGGCTGCCCTTGAGTTCCTTGTGCTGGTGAACTGGAGGAGGAGATGCTTGATAGGATAAGAAGTGTGTGTGCATTATAGCTACCACAGATCCTGCTTTGCCTCCTGGGCCCTCCCTGTCCTTCTGTGCACGTCAGCTGGGGAAGGGCAATACCTGTAGCATGCCAGAGCCTGTGGGAGTGCTGCAATGTCCCTGTCCCTGCTGCCTTCAGTGCCACCTCTTGGCTTGCACAAGATGTCCAATATTCTCCTCTGTCCTGTAGAGCTCTGCTCGCTCAAACCTGGCTGTCCTTCCCATCCCTCTTTGCAGCAGAGGTGCTGTAAATGGTTCTGTCGTTCCCTTTGTGTTGTTGCTCGTTCCCTGAAGAGTCTGGTGCCGTTGGAGGCAATGTCTTTTGGAAACTATCACAGTTAAGATCTTATATACTCTACCTCTTTGTCTGTCGAAGTTGGTTGCTGTATATATAATGAATTAAAAAGTGTGCCTTGAAATCAGAGTTTTATAGCTTTTCCTTTGCTTTTAAGAAGGAAAAAAGCTATATATAAATTTATGATTCTTTGCTTTAATCTCCCAAAGACTGCAGTGGATTTGTTGGACCTGAAAACTGAAGGATTCTGTAGCAAAGGCATCCCCTGCCTGCTGACAGGAGATCCCTAATTGAAGGAGCTGCTGAGAGCTCAGTGGTGGCTGTGTCCTGTCATGGGCACAGTGGAAGTTCCTTAGGGTGCTCAATTTTAGTGAGCCCTGATGTCAGGTCTGGAGATCTTCTCTTGCTTTCAGGGGTAGAAACAGGTGCTGTGTGATCCACTTTCCTTGCTTTTTTACTTGAAGTCACATACTCCACATTTCTAACCTCTGGCTGCAGACTGGGATGTTAAATCAAGCTCTGAAAAGCTGGATTTAGCATCAGATTCCTGCTTAGAAGCAGAAGCTTTTCCCTGTCACTCGCTTTTCGTGTTAAAGGAGAACCAAACCAGTTCAGTTCTGTGAGTGCTGGTAGATGTGGTGGTCTCTTGTTTGCTGCTTGGTGCTTGTTCAGCAAATGTTTTAGTCCAGATTCTCACTCCTGGAGCCTCCACTACTGTATTTGCCATTAGTTTAGAGTCACTGCTACTTCTAATTCCTCAGCAAACCCCATATCTTAACTAGAATAGGTTTTAGCTCCTTGAATCTCACTATCAGCATCCAGAAAGCTTCTAATTTTCACAGAAAACCCAAATAGCCTCGCTTCAGATGCATTGAAAGTGCTCTGGCTTGTCTGTGGCTGCTTGGCACTGCTCTCCCTGTCATAAACAGATTGTTGGAGTGGCACAGAACTGTTTGGGGCTTTATAGGGCTTTTTGGGACAATCCCAGCAGTTGTATTGTTGGAGCTCATAATAGGCTGTGGTTGTTAGAAAGGGGCTTTGGCTCTGCAGAAGGATTTGCTGTTCGTGGCCTGGCTGATAGCTCAGCTTGAGAGTTGTTTGTAAACACTGGGATGTGTGACTGGGACTGAGTGTGGTGCTGGTCAGGAGCTCAGCTTGCTTTGGCATCTGCAATGTGCTGAAATACACTGGAAT